TTGTTTCGGTGACAAGCTGGAACGGACGGTGGGGATATGCAATGTGAAGCATGGGCGGCGAGCACAAAAGATTTTTGAGGTGCCGAGAAGGCAGCTTGCTCTTTCTCCCCCCACGTGTACTCAATCCCCTTCCTTAGCAGGTCGGTCAACGGGACAGTCAACTGCGCCATGTCGGGGACGAATCATCGCACGTAGTTGACGAACCCCAGAAAACTCTTCAACTTGGTCAAGCTGGTCGGTGCGTGCCATGCTTGAATTGTCACGATTTTTTTCCAGGTCTGTTTCCACTTCGTTGGCTGAAATGATATGCCCCAAAAACTCCACTATATCATGTAGAAATTCACACTTTGAGGCTTTGGCCAGTAGGTTGTTCTCACACGGTATCTTGAAAACTGCTTCGATGTCATGTAGGTGCTGTGCTCTGTCTGGCCTGTAGATCAGGTATAAGCAATTACGCACTTATCTAAGAGCGGGCGGAATGCTTCGTTCATGGACATTTGGAAGGTGGCAGGGGCGTTGGTCACTCCGAAGGGCATGACGGTGTATTTGAAAGATCCGTAGCGGGTTCGGAAGGTGGTTTTCGTGCAGTCGGGTGGGTTGACGCGGATCTGATGGTAACCCCCTCGAAGGTCGATATTCGAGAAGACTTAAGCTGTGTGAAGCTGGTCTATCAGTTCGTTGGCTCACGGGATGGGGTAATGGGACTTGATCGTAACCCTTTTTAGTGCGCGGTAATCTATGCACATGCAAAACCCTTCGTCTTATTTCGGTGTGAGCAGTATCGGTGTTGCGAAGGGTGACGAACTTGGGCGAATGAACCTTTTTTCGAGCACGTAATCCAGCTGCTTTCGCAGTTCGTCCAGTTCGGGTTGGGTCAGTCTGAGCTGTCGCTGTACTGCTAGCTGTGCCCCTGGTTCTAATTATATCCTGTGGTCATGCGGTCGCAGGTGGCATTTCCTCCAGTAGGTCATCCGGAGAAATCTCGTTGTACGGTTTCAGTAGCGCTTCCTAAGTCATCGCTTCCAAAGTCATCCGGTACGTCGACGAGCAGTTTCTATAAATCGCTCGGTTTTTTTGCTGCCTTGGCTTACCGAATGTCACGTATACGCCAGCTCCTGCAGCTACGACGCGTTTCATCGTGATTGTGTTGACACGCACCGACGAAGGCTCAGACGAGCTCCAGCGATGTAGGGCGATGTTGTTACCGTTCATTCGCACGGTGCAGTCGCCCGTCGTCTAGTCGATTCGCAGGTTGTGTCATCGCAACCAATCACGGCCGAGTAAAATGTCAGTCTCATCGAAGGTTGTTGCCAGCAATTTCTGGGTAAATGTGAAACTACCCCCGCAACGAATCTGAACTCGGTCCACGCGTTCCTGTATCGCAAGTGGCGTGCAGGTGACCAGTCATGCATCGATCTCAGGTAAGCATTGGACTAGTGTCAGTTTCAGTCGACGTGCAGTTGCGGTGCTGATCACGCTGTAGCTAGCCCCCCCGTCTACGAAGATTTGAACTAAGTCCGTTCGTATTTTCCCGCTAAGCAGTATAAGGCTGTCTACCGTTGTACCCTCCTTATTCGTCTGGGTGTGTTCAATTGAGTGAACCGGCACAATCACTCGGTGAGGGCCGGTTGGGTCGGGCGAGAGGCGTGACCTGTAAGTAGAGGGCCCATTTGCTACTGACTCGCAGCGTTTCCCTGCTGCTTGGTCTGTTTCTGCTGCTTGGTCTGTTTCTGCTGCTCAGCTTCCCCCTTTCCCTTAGCGTTTTCCGGACATTTGTTCTTACGGTGCCCGGGCCTGTTGCACACGAAGTAGCGCCATTTGAACGGTGCGGCAGCAGCAGGGCAAAGATCAAACTGGGGCCAGAAAATAGCAAGGGGGTGTCCAAATCAGGGCCGGGTACCCGAACCTGGACATTTGGACTTTATAACCGGCTTTCCCATAATCGCGTAATTAATTCACTTGTTAGAGGTTCTGACGTGTCGTAATTGATTGAGAGAAACTTTACGTCGTTAGCGTCACCAAGCACTAGACGACGCTACCAGGAACTGTTAGGGCAGGGCAGCAAAACTAAAACCCTTAACGAACCTGGACGAATTTTTGCAAGGGATCAACCCTAAACACGGGAACCTGCCTGGCGTTTATCTCCTCGAGTCGCATCCGTTTCCGAGCGGGTTTTATTTTTGAAGGTCGGGTAAAGTGATGTGTCTCCAAAATTCATACACGATGAGGAAAACGGTGCGAGCTTCGTGTGACAAAAGCATTAAAACAAAAACGTCGAGAGTTTGATACTTTCCTTAAAACCCCGGTTTGGGTTATCGGCCCAGCCACATGGGCAGCTCCGGGGACGAATCGAACGTTTGGGATTTACCCGGCCCTAATTTGGACACCCCCCGGCTATTTTTCGGCCCCAGTTTGATCTTATTCGCGGCAACGGCGCGTATTGTGGTGTGCTCTCTTGTCCCACGAGTCCGATGTCCCAAGCCTCTATTGTTGCCATAGGACCTCGGTCTCGGTCCGATAGCGAGTATCTCGTTGAATTCCGTGACGTTGCGAAGCATGATTTCTTAAGCGATCTCATGTTTCAGGCCGCCGACATAGCGCTTGATGCGCGTTCGCTCGAGCGTGTATCCCACCTGCTCACACAACGCTAGAAACTCGTTGGTGTTGTCCTGGACGGAATGGCTAAGTGTGGAGCTTCTGATTCCCCGCGATCACAGCCGCGAATGGCTCGAATCTCGTGCGCAGACCTGCGCACCATGCATCCCACGTGCGATATTGGGCTACCTCCACGAAATACGCCGGTGCCCAGGGTCCGGTTTGTCCTTCCCGTGACGGTAGAGTCTCGTAGTCCGTCGGCTTTGTGACGATGATGCGCCACCAGTCCATGGCGGGTCCTCGTAGCATTGACACGGCGTATCGAATCTATGCCGAGTCCATCGAGACGTAGTTGGCGTTAAAGAAGACGTTTATCGTGAACAACTACGCCTGAACAGTTGGACCACCCAGTTGGCTCGGATCAGAACAAGGCGGACGCTACGGCTTGAGCGGCATCGGCGATGGCCGAAATCGTTGTTCGGTACCGAAATCGTGACACGTGGCTGACTCCTAGCCGCATTTGTCGGTCTGGGGTGTGTCATGCCGTGGTCGTCGTCTCAGTCGTTGCGGGTGACGCCATCACTAGCCTTGCTCAAGGGTTGCCCCACACTTCCGTGTTGTACTTGTGTGCCTTATGTTTGTGATTGTGCTTGTTGCGCCCGTGCGACGTCGTTTTGCAGCGACGTACGCTCTACCGTCAGCCCCGCAATCTCTTCGGAACTTTCGTGCAGTTGTTGCAGCAGTTGGTTCAGGCGCTCCAGCGTGAGTGTCGTGACATCGACGTGTTCGGCCACTTCGAAGGACGGCGGCTCAACTTAGCTCTAGGCGCAGTTGTAGCTGCACGCAGCTACGAGAGACGCGAGGACAACGGCTCCTAGGTGCTAATGGGCGTGAGTCCCTTTGGGCGCAAAACCAAAAGTTGATTTCTCTGGGTGCGGAGATGCACGGTCCGAAAAGAAAGTGGTTATGATACCAAGTGTTACGGATGCAATGGAACAAGAAGTAGCGAGGATTCCACTAGGTTGTCAAACTAGTACAAAGTATGAGCGAAGGCATGAGCGAATACTTATACGCAGGGCCTCAGAAGTCAGCGAAAAAAAGCTGATTTAGGTAAAAAGGGCTGAGATTTCAGACCTTTTTTAGAACTGAGGCTGATTTTTCAGCAATCTGGTGTGAAGAAACAGGAAATTTTACTAGATTTGTAGTGTAAAATGGCATAAAATGGCTGATTTGTCTGATTTTCAGCAAAACGTGCTGTACCAATTCTGTTTTTCCAGCCTAGCCTAAACCGAATCTGAGGCCCTGCTTTTACGCGAAACATGCAAATGGTACCGCGGTGCGTGCGAGCTAGCTAGTGCTAGGCTGGCATCGAGGTTCGGGCTAGTTCCGAGGCGTAGGCCGACTCGGCCAGACCAGCGGTGCATGGTTTGGTGAAACAGTGTGCGCGAATGTTGGCGAAGCCCCATTAGCAGTAACGGACGAACAATAGGTGCTGCTGTACGCGAGATGTTGAAGAACGCAGTAAGGAATGCCGAAAAAGTCCTTCCAACACTTTATGGTGCGTGCGTAAACACCCCTATCACTCTGTTCCACATCTTCGTTTTCACAATACGAACGTTTAGAAATTTTATTACACTTTCAGATTTTATGATATTTTGGCACGCCAAACCCCACATGACAAGCGAGTTTTTGGTTTATTACAAGCCACAACCTATTGTTGAACAAGCTGTTACTCTACATGATACCGTAAGCCCCCGGATAGAAGCGCAGGCCTCGGATAAGCGCCGGCGCTTATAAAAGGATGAGGGCGCTTATATCCGGTCCTCGATTATAAGCACACCCCTGAAGGCTTACGGATTATAAGCGCCACCCTCTTCTTTTTTATTATAATTTTACTGAAATCGTTGTAACGAAACTCAACATTTTCATTCCCACATTTTGAATTTCGATGCCCCCTCACCCTCGCCCAGCTCACTGGCAACGCGTCCAGTCAGAATGAGCTGTCAAGGGCGCACGTTGACTCATTCTGACTGTGTGTGTTGGCAGAGGGAGTCAATCCTTGCCAACTTGCACGCGAGATTCTCAATCACAGCCTTGTACAGTATAGTTTCACATTCTGACTGTGTGTGTTGGCAGGGAATCAATCCCTGCCAACTTGCATGCGAGATTCTCAATCGAACCCTGTATAGTTTCGACTCGATTCAATTCGCAAGAACGGGATCTACAGTTTAGTGGAAAAACGACGAATTTCATATATGCTATTAAATAAGCACCGGCGCTTATAAAAATCCTCAATTATAAGCGCACCCCCTAAAAAAACGTGTTTTTTTATAACCCCAGGGGCGCTTCTATCCGGGGGCTGACGGTATAGGAATGCTCGTTCTTTCATTGCTACAGAGGCATCCTCAGTCAAATTTAGGCATGTTATAACCCCACATGACGAGCGACTTGTTTGGTTTATTGAGCCACAATCTGTGATTGAAAATGTCCATGTCATCTGCTGTCTCGCCCCCACATCTTGTCGACGCTGCTAAGAGGACATCAGCATAAGAGCACACAAGCTTGTCAAGGATTGCCAAAACACCTGTGAGAGGGATCAAACAGCAATGAAGGCGGGTAAAGGAGGACGATGGGTACTCCTTCAGGAACAGCTACAGCACTAACATGCGGGCACACAAGCTTGTAAAGAATTGCCACCACACAGGGATTGAACCCAGGAAAGAAGGGAAAGATAAGTAGCATCGAGTGTGGATAAGTGGGGTTAAGTAGTGTTGAGTGGGGATGAGTGGGGACGAGTGGAGATGAGTGGAAACGAGTGGGGATGAGTGGAGTTCAGTGGGTATGAGTGGGGATGAGTAAGAGGGGATGAGTGGGGATGAGTAAGGATGGAGGGGATGAGTAGGGATGAGTGAGGATTTTTTAGAAAAAACATCGTCCTACTTTTCCAACTCACCGGGATCAAATCTTGCGACCGCTGGCAGCAGCTCGTTGATTGTGACGGTGTCATTGATCTCCTCTCGCATCCCTGTCAGCTCCTTGAGTGCCACGTCAGCAACACCAGTGCCATTGCTGCGTCGGCTCTCATTGCTCCCGTTGCTCTCATTGCCCTGTTTGCTCTGGATGGCAAACTGCTGATCCAAATCTTTCCAACGTGCTGTCTCTCCTTCTGCTACAGACGATACAGATGCTACTGCTGCTGCAGCTTCTGAGACCCCTGCATCCAATACGCTTGCTCCTCTCCCTTCTTCTCCTTGCCCTCCCTCTCTCCGCCCTCTGCCCACCCTGCTCTTCGTCAATACATCAGCAGCAACGAACACGGTTCTAACCGATACCCATCCCCGAACCACACTTGCTTTAGCCACGGACGAGTTCGCACACCACTGCATCTGCTGCTCAAACTGCCGCCCCACCTGCTGCTGGTTCTCCAAGCCTGGCTGCTCCGAGCCTGGCTGTTCCGAGCCTGGCTGTTCCGAGCCTGGCTGTTCCGAGCCTGGCTGTTCCGAGCCTGGCTGTCCCGAGGCTGGCTGTTCTGAGCCTTGCTGCTCCGAGCCTTCCTGCTGCCCTGCTGACGCGTTTGATCTTTGCTGCTCCGCTTCTCTTCTCTGCTTGGCATCACAGGGAGGTGAGGAGAGGGGGGGAGTGGTGAGGAGAGATGGGGGGAAGTGATTGATTTTTTTTTGGGGCATTTTTAGATTGAATTGTAAGCTCCTTGTCGCTTCTCCCCTCTGCTTGCCATGACAGGGGAATGGGGAGAGGGAGGTGAAGGGGAGGGTGGAGGAGAGAAAGTGAATCTTCAAAGACTTATCCGACAGAGTGATACAGAGTGGGGTAAGGGGACAGCGGAAAGGGTTCTTTCACCTTTGTTTCCAGGACTTACCACTCTCGACGCCATCACGTCGGGTTGCAAGTGCACCACCATCACAGTCTTATTCAGAGTACCGTTAAGGCTTTGTGGTAAGTACATGCAGCTGCCTGTTATGTGTTATGGTAAGCAGGTGCATCCCCTTTTCCTCCCGTGTGCTACCTCTTTTCCCTCTTTTCCCTCTTTTCCCTCTTTTCCCCTCTTTCCCCTATGTCCCGTCTCCCCCCTTGTTCCCCTTTCTTACGTTGTCCCCCTCCCCCTCATTCCCCCTATTCCATCCCCCCCCTTCCCCCCTATACACCCAACTCACCACTCTCCACGCGATCACATTGGGTTGCAAGCGCATGGCCATCACACTCTTATTCAGAGTACCGAGCAGGCTTGTAGCGAGTACATGCAGGTTCCTGTTGTGGTACACAGGTAACAGATTCCCATTTCCTCCCTTGTGCTCCCGCTCTCCCAATTTTTTTCCCTTTTCCACTCTCTCCCCTATTCCATCCCTCCCCTTCCCCCCTATACACCCAACTCACCACTCTCCAAGCAATCACGTCAGGTTGCAAGCGCACGGCCATCACACTCTTATTCAGAGTACCGAGCAGGCTTGTAGCGAGTACATGCAGCTGCCTGCTGTAGGGCAGAGAGGCCAAGGCGAGGCTGCCTGTGAGCGGGTCGAACTCGATCATGCCTGCTGCTGCCTTCACCCACACCACCACGTCTTTATCTTGCCTGTGCAATTAAGGGGGGGAATGAGACATGGGACATGGGACATGAGAAAGCAAGATATGAGGAGTGGGACGAGTTCAATGTGAAGCTGCCTGTGGTGGGCGGGTCGAACTCGGCCATGCCTGCTGCTGCCTTCACCCACACCACCACGTCCTTTTCCTGCCTGTGAGGGTCAGAGCGTGCAACAGAGGGGGATCGGGGAATCAGTTTTGATGTGACACTGTAACAAGGTGACAATAATGAGACGACTCAAAAGTCGATGGCTTTCTGTTGCCTTGAGCCACATCATCACAGTCCTTGTCCTGCCTGGGTGGACACGACCACCAGGTGGGTAAGAGGGGAATGAGAAATGAGGTAAAGTGTTAGAGTCGTTTAGTCATTTCTTCAGACTTTGTTGCATTCACGTCGTTGCCTTGCCTTGGTGGATTAAAGAATAACGTGCCTTGGAGAGTCACCATACCTGCATAGCAGCTTTGGACTCACCATACCTACAAGACCACTACTGCGGCTAAGGGCGCGTTGCATTTGAAATTTAGAATCAGAAAACGGGTCGAATGTGTGCTGGTTACCTGCGCCGTTAATGTCTGTCGCTGACTAACCATGCAACATTCGCGTCGCGTCTGATCCTTGATATGAAAAGTCAAGGCAACACGTTGGAAGTCGACTCAACAATCGAACGTGCACACTCGCACGCATTTGAGCGTGGTCACTTCTGGCCACATTCAACGCCTGGACGAAATCACAAAGCATGGCGACGTCTACATTACAGATTTTGAGAACAGCGCCAGAGCCACGTAGGTTATATTTGGTAACCTACTTGTTCTAGTCGCGAGGGTCGAATATCGTTTTCCGACCCTCGATGTAACATTCTGATTGACTGGAAATAGGCCACACCGTTCGAATCCCATAAAATCAAACAGTCGACTGAACAGTCGAACTTAGGAAACAGATGAAAATCGATGCCAAAAAAAAAAAAAAAAAAATCCGGAATTGCGCCAAATGCAACACGCCCTAAGAACGGCGTAGTAGGGGAGTTCAAGACCCTCCTGAATAGGCCGCTGCAAATCTTTGACGCACGTGAGAACTCTCAAAAGTGAGGATCCACAGCGCAAACAGAAAGCTGCATGTCGGGAGGTGCCTTTGGGTACCATACTTGCACTACAGGTTCAGGAGGTGCCTATGGGTTACCATACCTGCACTACAGGTTTGCATGGTGCCTATGGATTACCACACTTGCGCTACAGGTTTGGGAGGTGCCTTTGGGTTACCATACCTCCACTGAACAGAATTTTCTCGGATTTATCAGACCTGCAAAACAGCAGGCTCGGACTCGCCAGGCCTGCATCAGCACGTGTACGGCATCTGCTTGCACTGGGAGGTTCAGGTCAAGCGGTGTCGTTCAGCTTCCCTGGCAGCACGTACTGTAGGCTCGGACTCACCAGGCCTCCATAAGTGTTGCACAGGATCGGCTCGCACTGGGAGGTGCAGGTAAAACAATGTCCTTCAGCTTCCCTTACAGCATATACAGTCGGCTCGGACTCACCAGGCTTACAAAGGACTCACCAGGCTTACAAAGGAGGCTCGGACTCACCAGGCCTTCAAAGGAAGCTCGGACTCACCAGGCCTGCATGAGCACTTGCACGGCATCGGCTCGCACTGGGAGGCGCAGGTCGAGCGTGTTGGAGGGGAGAGGCACGTGCCCCATGGCGTATGGCAGTAGATGGCCCATCATGGCTGATAGGGGCTCTGGTGGGAACAGAGAGGGGGGGAAAGGCGGAAGGGAGGGAATGAGGATGGGGTGAGGAGGTGCAGGTCAAGCGTGTTGGAGGGGAGAGGTATGTGGCCCATGGCGTATGGCAGTAGACGGCTGATAGGGGCTCTGATGGGAACAGCAATTGAGACGAGAGATGGAGGGTGGCGGACCATTTAGGGCAGAAGAGTGAAGAAAATGAAGGGAGGGGGTTAGGGCGTGCGTATGAGAGAGGGGAGCACACGTAAGCAGCCTCACGATCCCCAAGAGGTGCAAGGGAGGAGGAAGGAGTGGAATGTCCGGGGAGGAGGGGAGAGGAGAGAGGCAAAGGGAGAAGAGGTAGAGTGTGCAAGTTGAGAGTCAAGACAAGAGGAAAGACACTCAGTCACCGTAAAGGAAGGGGGTTCACTGCAGGTGCCGTGACTTGCACCCACGCACAGACCACGTGGGTTCCTCAGCCCAGCGATCCCTGGGGGCCAACATACAGGTCGATACCAGGGAAGGGAACTCTCTCTCACCACAGATGAAGCAGGTGAATACAAGCCAAGGCAAGGCTCTCACTGACCATGGAGAAAGGGGGCTTGCTGGGCGACTTTTGAGTCGACTCAAAAGTCACCTCGATACAAGGCAAGGCAAGGCAAGGCACTCACCATGGCAAAAGGGGGCTTGCTGGGCGTGCCGCGACTGCACCCACACGAAGCCCACCGCGGGGCTTCTCAGCCCAGCAACACCCGAAATATCTGAACTGGAATCCGAGCCACTGGTATCAGAGCCGTTGGTTGGGGGAGAGGAAGCAGCAGCAGCAGCAGCAGCAGCAGCAGCACGGGCGAGCAGCAGGAAGAGGTCCGGCGACATCCAAGCCACGTGGGGCAGGCTCGGCAGCTGTTTGGGCGACTGAGAGGCTTGGGAGGCATTGGAATGGTTCTTCTCGAGGCTGTCTTTGATGCTGGGGACGGCATTGACCTTAGGCGCGGCGGCGTGGGAGAGATTGAAGAGGTCCCAGTAGGCGCAGAGGGGCAGTGGATGGGCGAGAGAGACATGGCTGTCGCCCACCTGCAGGAAAATGGTGAAAACGAGGGGGAGAGCGGGAAGGGATTGGGGCAGGGAAAGTGGTCATGTGAGGTGAGGGCGTGGCGGCCTTGGAGAGGTTGAAGAGGTGCCAGCAGGCGCAGAGGGGCAGCGGATGGGCGAGAGAGAGACAGACATAGCTGTTGGCACGACAGCCACTTGGCAGGCGTAGCAGTAAAGCACGACAGCCTGGGAGGAGAGGAGGGGTGCCAGTAGGCCCGGATGGGGGAGGATATTTCGATTTGGGGGGTGGACGAGAGGCAAGGAAATCTTAAAGCGGACGAGATTTGGCGGAGGGATAAAAATTGGTGTCTCATGATCAGGAAGAGGGAAGGTAGAGAAGCATGGTGAAGGGAACGGGGCTTAGGGAAGGGAAAAAGGCAACGGAGGTGGCGCATTTCTGACTTTTGAGTCGACACAAGTCACCAAGGGCAACGGAGGTGGCGCATTTCCGGTTTATTTTGGTGCGTGTGCATTGCAGCATGGGTGCGTGCATGTGGTGACTTTTGAGTCGACTCAAAAGTCGCCTTATTTTGGTGTGTGTGCATTGCAGCATGGGTGCGTGCATGTGGCAGCTATCTCACCTTGGGCAGAACCAGGATGCGGCCGGACATGTGGGCTATCCTCGCTGCTTCCACCAACATTCATCCGCGCGAGGGTGGTTTGCTTCTGTGTGGGTCAGCAGCACTGCCCTGCCAAGGCTTGCTCACTCACACAGTGGCCGTCTCACCTTGGGCAGAACCAGAATGCGGCCGGACATGTGGGCTATCCTCGCTGCCTCCACCACATCCATCCGCGCGAGGGTGGTTGGCTTGCCTGAGAATCCAAGCACCAGGAAGCGAGGGCGGGTGACAGACTGTAGCACAGGGGACACAGATGGGGGGAAACGGGTGAGAATGAGGGAAAGGTGGGTGGAACGGTCGAGGGTGGGTGGTTGGTTTGCCTGTGAAGCCAAGCACCAGGCAGCGAGGGCGAGAGGGGCTCTGCTGTGGGTTGGTTGGTTGGGATCAGGGGAAGTAAGATGGGCAGGGGATATTAGGCACATCAGCAGCCTGGCTTGGGTGGTGTGCGAGACTGCGAAGTCAAAGACCCGAAGGCGAGGGCGAGAGTGGCTCTGCTGTGCGGGGAACAGGGGTGGGGGAAATGGGGGGAGAGAGGAAAGAGGGAAAGGTGGGTGGTACAGGCGAGGGTGAGTAGCTTGCTTGCCTGAGAAGCCAAACACCAGGAAGAGAGGGCGAGAGGGGCTCTGCCGTGGGTTGGGGGCAGGGGTGGGGCGAGAAGGGTGGGGGTAGAGGGAAAGGTGGTTGGTGTGGTACAGGCGAGCGTGGGTGGTGCGCAGGTCTGTGAAGAGTCGGCCTGTAGCAAACACAGGGAGCAGGGGTGGGGAAAATGGGAGGAGAGTGGAAAGAGGGAAAGGTGGGTGGACAGTCGGACACATCAGCACGGACACATCAGCACGGACACATCAGTCGGAAAGAGCGTGCTGTGCATGGACGGTGTTTGAGGCGTTGAAGCCAAAGTCCAGGAAGCGCGGGCGAGAGACGCTCTGCTGTGAGGGGAAGAGGGATGGAGGGAAAAGAGAGGGGGGGGAGAGAGAATCGTGGGTGGTACAGGCAAGCGCTGTTATGTTATATTTGAGCCTGTTAATAGCACGGGAAAGCCTTGAGAATCCCAGCACCAGGAAGTGAGGCAAGTGGCGCTCTGTGATGGGTTGGTGGTGTGAGGGTGTGGAGGTGTGGTGGTGTGGGGATGGCAAGCGAGGTTCTGAGACAGCAGAGGAGCATGCATGCTGAGCGCGTCAGTGAATCCCAGCACCAGTTTTGAGAATTCTCAAAAGTGAGTCCGTGAATCCCAGCACCAGGAAAGAAACAGGGTGCTTCTGAGAATTCTCAAAAGACATCCCAAGCACCAGGAGAAGAGAGTGCGAGAGGCGCTCTGCATGGGTTGGGTTGGGGCAGAGGAGGGAGGGAAGAACGGAACAGCGGGTCACACGCATGGGACGCGCATGGGTGGTGTGCTAGCGGTGGATAGGCGAGGAAGAATCAGCAGAAAGCGAGGGCGAGCGACGCTCTGCAGTGAATAAGGCAGGGGTGGGGTGGGGTGGAGGTACGGCTAGGAAGGAGGAGGGTTGCGGACAGGCCAGCCCAGTTGCGGAGATTCAAGTCGAACATGGCAGTTCTTCTGTCGAACAAGGTCGTTTGCTCTGCTTGGCAGAGAGTGCTGCCCAAAGGCAGGAAGCGAGGGCGAGAGGCGCTCTACAATGGTTAGGGTTGGAAGCAAGGCACGAGTGGGGTGGCCCGGGTGGGGTGGAGGTATCGCTAGGAGGGTTGCGGACAGGCCAGCAGCCGAACATGGGATGGGCAGTCTGCTCTGTTTGGCTGTGAATGACGCCCAAAGGCAGGAAGCGAGGGCGAGAGGCGCTCTGCAATGGGTTGGGGGCAGTGGTGAGGTGGAATTATGGCTAGGGGGGTTCATACAGGCCAGCAGCCGAACATGGGATGGGTGGTCTGCTCTGCCTCTGCTCTGCTTGGCAGTGAGTGGAACCCAAAGACAGGAAGCGAGGGCGAGAGCACTCACGTACGTGTGAGAGGGAGAGAGGCACTCCTAGACTGGTCACGGTGGTGGGGGTGGGAAGCAGGACACACTTGTCTCTGACAGGGAGAGAGGCGGGGGGGCAGCAGCACTCACGTACGTGTGAGAGGGAGAGCGGCACCCCGGGAACTGGCCAGCAGCTTTCAGGCCACTGCTTGCAGTTCTCTTGGCTCCCGCCACTCCCACCATCCCCACCCGCCCCGCCACTCCCGCCACTTCCGCCATTCCCACCACTCCCACCACTCTTATCGTCTGCAACACTCCCGTCGCCCCCGTGACAGCCGTCCGCCTGCCCTCCCCCCACCAGACGCCTCTCCACCTCCTTCACCCCCCCACACACTTCGTCTATACCCGCCTCAATGCCCTCTATTCCCGTCAGATTCGCCACTACAGCCGCTCCGGCGCTTTGAGGCGTCTCTACACACGCCGCTACAGCCGCTCCCACGTTCTGATTCGTCCCTGGATTTGCCGCTACAGCCGCTCGGATGTAGCTGCTGCCGGCAGCGCGTGCCAGCACACCACGTTTCCAACCCTCCGAACACACCTGCCCCACCGAACCTGCCTGCTGCTCTGCCACCTCAGCCTCGGTCAGAGGCTCGGTGCTGTTCTTGATAGGTTCGGTGGGTGGCTCGGTGTTGTTGCTAATACTAGCCGCCGTGGGTGGTTCGGTGGTGTTGTTAGCCTCGGATTTAAGCTTCGTTAGTAGCACCTTATCCTCCTCCCCCTCCTGCTCCTCCTCCCCCTCCTGCTCCGCCTTCTCCGCCTGCTCCGCCTGTTCCTCCTTCTCCCCCTTCTCCGCCTGCCCCCCCTGCTCCCCCATCTCCCCCTTCTCCGCCCCCCCCTGCTCCCCCTGCTCCCCACCCGCCCCCTGCGCCACCTGCTCCGCCTGCTGAGCGCGAAGGGCCAGCCGTCGAAAGGCCTCGAGGAGGCGTGTTCGACACGCGTCTAATTCCGCCGCACTTGCGCCCCCGGAAGACCGTGACCGACCTGCTGCCGCGCTGCTACCAGCAGATATCGTCGTGGCGTTTGAGTCCGCGAAAGTTTTGTTACCGAAATCAGGAAAGCTGTTGTCGGCCCTTTCGCGAAAGAGGCGGAGGCATGAATCGGAAATGCCGAGGAGGCTTATAACGGGAACGTCGCCGTGAGATGAACCTCCAAACGGAGGAGTACCAGAGCCACGGGGAGTAGCGCCGGTGATAGGAACACTACTAGTGCTGCTGCTGCTACTACGAAAAGAAGGACCGCTGCTGCTTCTACTGTCGTCAACTAGCGCGCTCGGGGCTGCTTCGTTATGGGCTTCCTCGATAACAGCGATGTGCGGCAGGCGGAAGGAGACGGGGAACTCGAGGAAGAAGATGACGTGGCACGCGAGGAAGAGCGCGACGACGATGACGGCGGGCTTGTGAATGGCGGAGGAGAGGAACGAGGGGAGGCACGACGAAGGCAGGGACGAAGGGAGGGACGAGGGGAGGGACGAAGGCAGGCATGACGGCAGAGCTGAGACTGGGAGGGACCAAGGATGAAATGACGGGAGGAAGGAAGGCAGGATACTGGGAGGGTGGGAGTGAGGTCTCTTGGTGAGCGACGTCGTCTCGCCCGTCGCATGGGCCGCCCGTGCGACGGATTCACCGTCGCTCGCGTCCATTTAGCTGCGACGGAACGCCGGACGAGGCCAGTAAGCTAAAAGGCAAGCGACACTACAGTTCACCGACGGTCTAGCTGTTGAGTCGACTCAAAAGCACCATTCGATCGACGAAAAGCGGCACTACATTCCGACGGTCTGCGGCATTACAGAGCTCGACTGGTGCCTAGTTTGCTTTCACTACTCTCAAAAGCGAGACGATAAAGAGGCACTACAAACTGACAGGAACCAGCACTCGGAGTCTCGGACCGACGAGTTTTGCGGCCTAGAATATGGTTGTGGAAGCTTGTCTGGTCTCTGGTTTGACATAGAATGCGAAATCTGCGTCGTGTCGGATCCCCACGACAGCAGGACCCTACAGCATAACTGTCAGTAAACGATCAGCTGACTACTACTAACATTCCCGTCCAGAAATCCCCATGTCGGAACAGAAGCGCGGGAAGATGAGTGCCTTGTAAGTTGTAGCCCACCTGTCTATTCTTGACGAGTCCTGTGCTGTGGAATGAATGGTGACGATTTGGCGCGTGCACTGCACTGCTGTCAGGAGCTGTCAGAGTGGGGTTGACAGACTCGGTATAGCATGAACGGTCAAAGACCATTTTCTCCCCAAACATAAAAAGCGTTCTGAAATAATATCATGCAAGGGCTCTGAACATTTACCTACAATTTGTAAGTTCTGTGTGTACTTTTGAGCAAGCAAACAAGGAGTGCACGTAATGCAGGTGGTTGTAAGTACAATGAATAACCGCATAAGCGAAAGAGAATGTTTGTCGAATTGTAGACATGTGTGACATGTTGGTTTTAGGCAAGACTGAGTTGCTCTTTATTGAGTACCACTGTTCCCTATTTTTATCACCTCTTAGACATGTTCATACAACCCCTTATCAGGCCAACCATCAAGCTCACATCAAAACGCACTGAAAATTCCCTAAACCCAAAAACCCTCGCTACTTTTACTAGGCAAGGCTGACAAGAGGTTTGCCCGATAAGAGCGTAGGAACATGCCCTTACTAGTTCATCCACATTTCGTTGTTCACACCCTTGACATGGTAACAACGTATGTTTGTTCCTAAACTCTAGACCGCCTGCCTAACCGTGAGAATCCTAGCCACTAGACCATTGGGATAAAATGGCTTGTTCCAGTAACGGATCAGTGCGCCCATAACCCCCCATGCTAATTTGCATGTAACCCTTCTAGGATCAATTCGGAATCTCCATTGATGGTCTTATGACACCCCCCTACACAGTGAGGCCCATGATACTGACAACACCATCGACAATATGTGCACACATTGGGATTCGAACCCGAGACCTTTGCTCTGATACCATGTGAGACTCCCAAACACTAGACCACTAGGATAAAATGACGCCCCGCCAGCCAGCCCGCGGGCTGGTGGCTCTCGTGCTGGTTGGCCGACATATCAATCGGGTATCCCCAGTGCCAGTCTCTGACACTACCTACCTTCCTAGACCATCCGTTGGCCAGCCAACCTGTCCCACCAGCCCTAGCAAGCCAATCATCTCAGAATCCCAACCACTAGACCATTGGGATAAAAGGGCTTGTTTCAGTAGCGGGTCAGTGCGCCCATAACCCCCCAGGCAAATGTGCCTGTAACCCTTCCCTAGGATCGATCGGGGATCTCAGTGGACCTCTGACACCCCCCCGCACTGGGATGCCCGAAGTGCATACACCGGGATTCGAACCCGAGACCTTCGCTCTGATACCATCTCAGAATCCCAACCACTAGACCATTGGGATAAAAGGGCTTGTTTCAGTAGCGGGTCAGTGCGCCCATAACCCCCCAGGCAAATGTGCCTGTAACCCTTCCCTAGGATCGATCGGGGATCTCAGTGGACCTCTGACAAATCAGTGCCAGCCAGCTCACCAGCCGCCAACCGCTAGCCCGCTAGCGTTCGTAACAAGCACCCTGTGCCACCAGCAAACAAGCCCCCGCTAGTAAACGCGCGCGCCAGCAGAGCGCACCGCTATCGTGCCCCCCATTAGAGAAGCGTGCATACCAGCAACATGCGCCGCCTGTGTGCGCCCCACCAGCAATGCACACGCGTTATCAGCGCGCGCCACCAGCAAAGCGAGAGCGCCAGCAGCGCGCACCGCCTGCACACGCCCCGCCAGCCAGCTAGTGCGCCCTGCTAGCGCGCGCCTCGCCAACCAGCGCACACCCCTGCTAGCGCGCACCCCGCCAGCTGTCAAACATTATATATGTTCTGCTTGTTTAGGCTACAGTGGGTTAGCCTATAAGGGGTACACAATTCTAGGGTTAGGTACTTGTACTAATTTCACTGTTAGTTCAATCATTCCTGTTCATTGATTTCAACATGGTATAGAGCAGATTCTTCCTAGGACCGATTTTTTTAGGGCCCACCACTACCTACCTACCTACCTACCTACCTGCGCCCTAGGGCGCCTCGGTTTTCACGGCCCCTTAAGGCCCCGTCGGCCCGCCCCTAGAGGCCCCGAACGGCCCACGCGCTCGCCCCTAGCGGCCCCTTTCGGCCCCGCGATCGCCCCTAACGGCCCCATCGACCCCTCGCTTACCTCCCTAGAGGCCCCGTCGGCCCCGCGCTCACCTCCCTAGAGGCCCCGAACGGCCCCGCGCTTGCCCCTAGAGGCCCCAAACGGCCCCGCGCTTGCCCCTAGAGGCCCCTTACGGCCCCGCGCTTGCCCCTAGAGGCCCCGATCGGCCCCGTGCTCGCCCTTAGCGGCCCCTTACGGCCCCGCGCTCGTCCCTAAAGGCCCCGATCGGCCCCGCGCTCGCCCTTAGCAGCCCCTTACGGCCCCGCGCTCGCCCCTAAAGGCCCCGATCAGCCCCGCGCTCGCCCCTAGAGGCCCCGAACGGCCCCGCCCAGAACGAGCCGCCCGACGCGAGCAGCCCGAACCGAGCCGCCCGAACCGAGCCGCCTGACCCAAACCGAGCCGCGCCGCCCGATCCTAGCCGCGCCGCCCTACCTGAACCGAGCCGCGTCGCACGTACTGGACCGAGCCGCCCTGCCTGAGTCCCTACTACTGCTATTACTGCTACTACTAGTTTTACTCCTGCTACTGCTATGGCTAGCCCTCCTGTGCTAGCTTTCGATGCTGAGGGCCGCCCAGTGAAGTTTGAAACCTGGCTAGATGACCTACACCTCTTCCTACAGCTCACTGCCACGGAAGACATCTCATTGTACGATCACGCCCCAGGCCATGCTACTGTTCCTGCTGCTACTGCTGACAATACTGCTCGCTCACAATGGCAGACTCGTGACGCCCACGCTCGCTTCGCTATTCGCAACTCCCTGCCGATAGATGAGCGCGAGCACTTTGGGCAGCACAAGACTGCACTGTCAGATTTATATGACATAGTTGCTGTAGGCTATAGTGGGGTAGCACATATGGGGTACAAGGTTTCTAGGGTTGTATTTGTACCCAATCTTTCCTTAGTCATTTCATTCCTGTTTTCTTTGCTTCACATGGTATAGAGCGGGTCCTACCTTAGGACCGTTTTTTTTTTGGGCCCACCGAAGTGCGCCCCGAGGCGCGCCCTTTTTTTTTTAGCGACCCCCCTCGGGTCGCCTTTTCCCTCGCGGCCCCGCTGTCCCTCAGACGCGGCCCCGCCACCTCTCCTGATCGCGGCCCCGCCGCCTGTTTGACGCGGCCCCGCCGCCTACCCTGACGCGGCTCAGCCGCCTCCCCTGACGCGGCCCCGCCGCCTCCCCTGACGCGGCTCCGCCGCCTCTCCTGACGCGGCCCCGCCGCCTGTCTGATGCGGCCCCGCCGCCTCCCCTGACGCGGCTCCCCCGCCTCCCCTGACGCGGCACTGCCGCCTCCCCTGACGCGGCTCCGCCGCCTCCCCTGACGCGGCCCTGCCGCCTCCCCTGACGCGGCTCCGCCGCCTCTCCTGCCGGCCCGCCACTGCACCTGCCGGCCCGCCGCTGCACCTGCCGGCCCGCCACTGCACCCTACGGCCCGCCGCTGCACCTGCCGGCCCGCCACTGCACCTGCCGGCCCGCCGCTGCACCCAGCGGCCTGCCGCCTCTGACGGCCTCGCCGCTGCACCTGCCGGCCTCGCTGCTGCACCTACGGCCCGCCACTGCACCCTACGGCCCGCCGCCTGCACCTGCCGGCCCGCCGCTGCACCTGCCGGCCCGCCACTGCACCTGCCGGCCCGCCGCTGCACCTGCCGGCCCGCCACCGCACCGGTCAACCCGCCGCTGCACCTGACGGCCCCGCCCCTGCATCTCCTGGCCGAGCCGCATCAGCAGCCGAACCGCCCGTGAGCCGAGCCGCCCGACGCCGAGCCGCCCGGGACCCGAGCCGCCCTGCCGCCGAGCCGCCCGGGAGCCGAGCCGCCCTGCACCCGAGCCGCCCAGCCGCCGAGCAGCCCGGGAGCCGAGCCGCCCTGCGCCCGAGCCGCCCAGCAGCCGAGCCGCCCAGCACTCGAGCCGCCTTTCTGCATACCTACACGACCTGCCCTGCCTGGTGAGCACAGTCCCACTGACACTGCGAGCTCTTTGCTCGCTGCTTGCACTGCGTCGCTGTCGTCGCCATGGCTACCCCTAGTGTCCTAGCTTTTGACGCTGAGGGTCGCGCCATTGATTTTGAGGTCTGGTTAGACGACCTGCAGCTGTTCTTACAGTGCGACAGGGCTGACGACCTTTCTCTCTTTGATCTCACCTCTGGCGCCTCTCCTGCTCCTGCTGCTGATGCTGATCCCGCTGTCCGCTCTAAGTGGGCCACCCGCGATGCTGCTGCACGTCTTGCTGTGCGTCGCCACCTCCCTACCTCTGAGCGTGCGCACTTCAGTCAGTACAAGAGTGCTCAGACCTTGTACGACGCTGTAGTTGCGCGCTACTCCTCCCCTGCCACTGCTGCACTGAGCCGTCTCATGCTTCCCTACCTCTTTCCTGACCTCTCTGCCTTTCCCACTGTCGCTGACCTCATTACGCACCTCCGCACTAGTGACACTCGCTACCGCGCCGCCCTTCCTGCTGAGTTCTGCGCTAAG